TCGCGCGGTAATCGCAATGTGGACAAGGATATGGCCTTTTTTCCGAATGCATCTGTTGAACATGAGCGTTCAGGTTGCCACGCTTATGACTCTGATAGTCACACTGACCGCACTGAAACACCTGCAGCGATACCGTGTTGATATTTGCGGTACCTGCCTGTTGATGCTGTTGCTGCATTTGATGTTGCTGCGTTTGATGTTGTAACTGATGCTGCTGCTGATGACCTCCGTTAACTCCGGAAGGACCTGAAGCCGAGGCTGACTGTTGTCGCCCCATTGGGTTCTGGATCATTCCCACCTGTTCGAGTTGGGTTTGATAGCGTGATGAATAAGACGCAATTGAGGCACATTAGTTAATTACTAGCTAATGAAAATGCGCTTCTTTGCTTTTCTAATTCACAGTGAATAAAATAAAGCGTGAAAAACCTTGACAGGAAACAAGGTAGGAGGCACCCTATATAGAAAAAAATGCAACACGTTTGTCTTTGATCTTCCACGCTTCCAAGCATATTGCTGAGAAAAAAAATTAAATTGAAATGCTCTCTTTAAAATAACTACATACACTGATATTTTCAAAGACTTTATACGCTATTGTCAGGTTATTAAACTAAAGCGATTAAATTTAAATCAAGCGATTTTGATGAGGCAGGTCAAGCACTCGAGTCTTGTCGTGAATATCTACAATGTGGCTGTTGGCATCATACCATTGGAATCAAAGCGAATCTAAAACTGGTTTATAGACTCATACATACTTTTAAAAGTGTGGGGTCAGGTACGCGTCAGTAGCTAGGACAATACTGAATATCACATTTGATAGAATTGGTATACTCACACATTCATGTTACATCACTTTTAAATGGGCACACAATTAAATCATCACAAAGATCGGTCATATGAACGGTATTTCCTCACGTAATAACCAACAAACCAGCAAATCTGATATCTCGACAGCCAACTAGCTACGCCAATGGGGTAACGGACCTACTAGCAGGTCAACGATTTTTTTAATGCACCCAGCTGATTTTCTATAAAGAAATAACAACGGTAACTAGAAGGGGGAGAAAATTTGCAATGCACGAAAATCTTCCGGCTGGTCCGAATACATCGGATCGCCTTTACTATTCAAGGCACATGACCAGATGCTCGGCTGTTACTCAAGACATTGTCACAAGCGCAAATACAGATTTACACTTGCTGGTGGCGAATACGGGTCGCATAAAATCAACTGAGCCAGATGCGCCTTAGCGATCGAGTCGCTTAGTTACATTGCAAGGGGTAACCTATACACCACCCCGTAACCAATATGGGCCATTACCATAGTAATTAACATTGGTTACTACTAGACTACCTATTTATTCGGTACCATTAGCAAACACATATAGAAACAACTGATTGACTTGACAGACCAAATCTCACTGATCGATAATTAATCTAACGATGACGACCGAATCGAAGAAACTACACCAGCGCCACGCGCTGAAACACAATAAGATCTTCGTTTATAAGCGTCTGATAATTGGCGAACGGTGTTGCACTAAAAAGTAAGCGTAGACTGATGAGATATGTTTTGTTTTTCGCAGTACTTCTTTTCGCTTAATCAGATTGACTTTTTTGTTGTTATGCACTTCGTTATCGTTGTTGTTGTTGTTGTGATGGTGGGTTTGTTGTCGTTGCCGTCTTTTGCTGTCGCTCAATGTTCTTAATTTGTACCTGCTTATTTGTTCCGCTGGCGCCCGTAGTGGAGGCGCTGCTCGTAGCAATAACTCCTCGCAAGGCGGCCTCAAGAGGCTCGCAATGAGTCGTTTGATAATGCTGGGACACCGTGTCCTGATCGGCGGCATAGAACGCGCACAGCTGCGAACAGCAACAATGTTCATCATCAGATCGCCGACAACCATCGCCAGGTCAGGCAGGGCGGGCAGTTGCAGAACACAGAACAGGAGGATCCCAAGCGGACAACGAAAAAGGTCGACACAAATGGAGAGAACGAACCAACGACGAATATACCACAGACGAATCAGGCACAAGAGAGAGTGCGAGTGAGTGAGAGAGACAGAGAGAGAGAGAGAAAACACAGACAACAGCAATCGATTTAAAAATCTTGAAATTAAACTTGGATCAGAGATGTCTTAAGCGATTCCGGTGATCTAACACGAGGGATTAGTGAATAATTGGGTCGCTAATCGATTGACTGGCTGTTTGTTCGCTTGGTTGATCAATTAATTTACTCTATTCAACAACTAAGAATGTATCTGTTTGTACAAAGGGATTAAATTAAAAATCATTATTCTTCTGTAAATGTTGCGTTGCAAGTGCTAGATAATATATTAAAGTAACTCTTGATGCGGCTGCCTGCATCTCTTAATGAGCTTTTCCTGACCCCTGTATCTCTCGATCTATTGGATACAAAAGGTTGATAGGTTACACGAAGATTGGAGCGGGCACTCTCTCTCGTCAACTATCTGTTGCCATCTTGTTCAGGTTCTGATCGAAAACATCTCTTGATCTGACTGGGTTCGCCCGATCGAATCAGTTGGTCAGCACTTGTATCCTGTGATATGCCGGATAACAGATGTGTCGCTGCATAGAACTTCCATGTTTCTAAACACATACACATCGATGATAACTAACTTCCACTAGAGTCCGGTTACGTTTGATGGTATTACGCACGTTTGCTTTGCAATCATCCGTTCAGCTGTGGACATATAGTACAAAATAACAATATTTTTGAACACCACACTCACTCACCTATTTGTCACTATGTGACTGATGTCTGTAACTATGGCCTACTCATATGAGGTAATGGCAAATCTTACTGATCCCATAACAATCAATGTGACGATCACAAAAAAACTGCCTCTAAAACCCAGGCGTGCTCTGTCATGCTGTCTCCATATTTTCTTTCATAGTGTTAATTTTCATTTCGCCTAAACTTTAACCCACAATATTTTTCAATTCTCCTACTGTCGTTTTGTATTACAATCTATTTGGAAGCATTCTAATTGCTTTATAGCTTGTCATATGAAATTTTCTGCCGAAAAGTTCGGTTGATTCCAACAGTATTGATTCCAGTGGAAGGGTATCTCTAGGAGCAAAAAGGATTTTGCAGTCAGGGATATGAATATTATTTTGTATTTAAAACAGCGCTTTTTACATATCCTAATGTCTAATTTACAGTTTGGGCAACGCGAGTTAGATTAATTATATATATATATA